ATTTCTCTTTTGAGTACCATTACAGTTGTAAAAAGGTTTTCACTGGTTCTATTTTTCTACTGTTGCTGAGAAGCATGTAACACTGACTTTATCCTACGTATAGTTGGCATTTCAAATAAATGGCTTGTCTAGAACCTGTGTCACTGAGTCCTGTGAGCTGCTGCAGCATTGGGCTGCACTCCCACCCTGCCTGCTCCCCCAGACCTGCAGTCAGCCCGGGCTGGCAGAAAGGAGTGGAGCAGAACAAAGGGAGAGGTGCCCTCTAACTGCAGAGGCCTCTCAAACCGACAAGGTTCGTTCCTGCTGGGGAAGAAAAAGTGCACAATGCTGCTTTGAGCATCAAGGACATGATAGAAAAACGTAAAGAGAGGAATCCAAAATCAGTGGCACTGCTCAGACAGGAAGAAGGAAGAAGCATTTCAGTGAAACAGTTCAGTGAGTTCTGGCTAGAGCCTAACTGGCCAAGGCCATTCCCCGTGAAAGGCAATGGAGCTGCTCAGAGCCCCAGCCCTGGGGCACTGCTCTCCATCCAGGAGGTGTGAGCTCATCTCCCCAGCAGAGCAGCTGGCCAGACACGTTCAGTGTCCAGCATTCCCAAGCTGCACTTTTCCTGCATCACCTGACTAGTCATTACATCTTTGTCACAGAAACAGGTGCCTCACTGCTTCAGAGCAATGACTCAAGTTCAGAAGTTTAATCCAGGCACTTGTAGTCTCACTTTGATGTGCAAGAACTAAATACTGTGAGTTTTGTCCTGACACAGAGTGGAGGTGGGTGGGGAAAGAGAGCACTGTATGGTCCTAAATGTTAATCACTGACACCTTCACTCCCACAGGCAGGAAGAGGAATTTTAGGAGCTTCCTAAATTAGACACGTTTAACATTTGTTTTATAGATATATATAGATATACCTCGTGTAACATATATTAACATACAGACTTTCTGTTCACTTTGGAACAGTGCTAAGCCTGCTAACGTCAGAGCAGAGAGGATGCTGATGCCTCTTCACTGAGGGAGCCCTTGGGTGTTGGAAGAAAGGGGATGGCTGGGGCTGGGCCCCCTCTGGTTCAGTACAGGCCCATGCCAAGAACAGACAGTGCACGTGGTAGTGCTGACACTGTGCTGTGCAACAGGAGCCACAGTCATTCCTTTTTCTGGCAATTGCTTGATTCAAAAAGCTTCCTGCATTTGTACTCCCTCCTTCCACCACTGCTGTCCTTTCTCTGCTGGGGCTGGGCCTTGGTGCAGCACTGCCATGTGCCCTGGGGCCTGTTGCTGCTTGTTTCTATCCTGAGGAGGACAGCACAGCTTGGAAAAAAAAAACCCCAAACCTCAAACCGTCTGGTTCAGGATGATTTGAGCTCAGAGGTGGAACCTAGGACAGCTCTTGCCTCTGGGCACCCACTCCCCCAGCCCTTCAGTGAATGAGATGCCAAAACCTGCAATACAGAGCAAACATCCCCCATCCTACCTTTTCTCCTGCTCTAAACTGTATTTGCCCTCGTTTCACACCTGCCTGTGACTCCCTGGGTTAGGGTGGAGGTGAAGGTACAGGAATCCTGGGCTTGCCTCAGCCCCCAAGATGTACCTTGCTGCCATGGCTAAGGTTGTCACTGCACTCCCTGTGTCTGCCTGGATCTTGGATGGAACCGAAGCACTACAGCAGCACTGTGAAAACAAGACAGTACAGAGTGACCAGTTCTTTAATGTTTCTATATTGTAATTAAGATATGCAGTTACAGCTCCTGTAACAGTTGCTACAAAAAAAAAAAAAGCACGTACAATACCTGGAGTTAAATGTGAAAGCCACTAGTCATTTTGCATGAAACAAACTGATGAGCAGAGCAGCTATGCTAGAACTACTTTGTAGATAATGAGGCCAGAAACAACTCATAGTGAGCATGACAGATAAAAGTCTGACTTCCTTCTCAAAAATCATTAGCATGGAAGCAGAATAGTACCCCATGGTATAGAAATCCTCAAAATCTAGAACTTTAATGTGTGTTTTGGGATCTGTGGGTAAAGAAAACTAAAAACTATGTTAGGCTCCAAACTTACAAAAAGTCAATTCCTAATTGCAGCTAGATGTAGATTCTTAAAAATCAGTAAAACATCTCCTGTCCCATGGTTATCACAGTGGTTATAAAAAGATCATGTTTCATACTGTAGCAAAATACCAGGATGCTGCAGTGTTTTCAGCAACATTTATGAAGTAGAATAATTTGCTGTACACGAGTTTTTAAACTCAAAGCACGTTCAAAGTCCTGTAGCAAACCCCCCCATGCTTAATTTGTAATTTAGTACCTCCTCCTAGACACTGTTTATATTCTCGTGAGTGAATTAAAATCACGTGACAATTTTTTTCATTTAAAACGTCACTGTACAATATTAAAAACAAGTTTTTCAATTTATAAAGCCAACATTCTGTTGCATCAAACCTAACCTGTGGTTCCCCAGTTTTGACCTGCCTAGGGAGCACTTCCCCTGTGATGAGTGAGCACACAGTTGGTACAGTCACCCTGTACAGCCACAGCACAGCCTGTCTGCTCCAGCCCTGAGGGGCCACAGCTCTCTGTGCAGGGACAGACACCTCTTTCTGCAGGGAGCCCTCCCAGAATGCCACACCCCAGAGGGATGAGACACAGCCATTTCCAGCAGGAGAGCAACTGTGCTCCAGCCTTGCAAAGCCTCCGGAGCTCACAGCCCCTGCACTGCTGGGAGGGGAGGGCAGAGCCCACTCGGGTACAGCTCCAGGCACTGACAGCAACTCGGTGAAAGACTAAGGGGATGACTGTTCTGGTGACAAGCCATCCTCTCCTTTGGGACAAGGCTGGCTTTTGTGGGAATGCAAAGTCCATCGGTAGGGAAACACCTCTAAATGCAATGGTTAGAACTTGTTTTAGTTGCTACAAAGAAAAGAAGTATGAGACAAAATGAAGATGTTTCTTGGACAGCTGGATTTTGATGAGAAGCCAAATGTTGAAGATGCCTCTTCTGTCTGCTAGTGAATACTGTTCTCCCAGTTGTCCTTCCAGAGCCAAACCCTCTCAGTCTAACTACAGTAGTACTGCATCCTGTCAGTCCGTCGCCTCTTCCGCGACTGGAACTCTTCAAAGAAGTGCTGAATGTCCTCTCTTTTAACCACCTAGGAGAAGCAGTATAAAACCCAAGTTGTGGCACAAGAGCTCAATTAAAGGATCCCATTTTTTCCCCACAAAGCACAGAAAAGCAAATATCCTGAAATCTCTGCTGCAGCTTTCCCGTCGTACCCAAAGGAGGCGATTAATGCCCAGATTCTATTATAAGGAACACAAACATGGAAAACAGTTCCCCAAAGGCAGAACAAGCACATGCAGCAAAGCTCCTGATGGTATTCTCATGCCTTTGACCTCTTGCTTTTACCATCAGAAAAGCTAACACAAAGGAAGATTTTCACTCGCTCACTTCAGGCTCATTCCAGTGTCACTCAGAATGGCAACATGGCACAGCAGCCAACAAAATGCAAGTGTTAATTAATAATAGCATGCAAATTCCTCCAGGAAAACAACTGACAAGGCTGTCAGTACTGAGTCAGTCCTCATTCTTCTAAGGGTTTAAATTCAATTTAAGAAAAAAAAAAACAAACAGGAAAGGTAAGAGCTTTTTTCCCTGAGTGCTTTTCCTAGAGCAACAGAAGTTCCATTTAAACACAAGAACTGCTCTCAGTACTTTGCAGACAGATTTCTGTACAGTCCCTGTTATCTCTCAACAATGTCATTAAGGAAATACAACTGTTACATTCCAATTACATCAGGGAGTTCTAATTTTTTCTGCAGTACCAGCAGCTCCAAGAGACAGGAAAAAAATATTACAGCAGAAGCACCACAGCCCTGAGCACTCAGCCCTCAACAGCTCTTCGAAACACGTTCCTTACCGTTCCCTCGTCTGCAAACCTCCTGAGATAGTCAGTCAGTTCTGTCTTTAAATCGTTGTATTCTGGATGGAGAAGCAAAGGCAAAGGCAAGAAAACAAAAAACCCATTGAGATATCCAGTTTGAGTTTAAGGCTGGCTCAAGAAGACAAATTGTTCTACTTCCTCCTGTCAGTCATTAGGTTTACATGAGACAAATCTAGGTTTGAACTGGATTATAAGCAATAATAATAGAAAGACAAGTCCAGGTAAACACGAGAAGTCTCAGAATTTATCAGACTAACCTCTGCAGTCTGAGTACAATTAATTAGAAGACTGCCCCTGCTCCCAGCTTCCCACTGCCAAACCACACTGGGGCTGTGGGAAGTCCTAGCCCATGACTCAGGTTTGGGCACCTCTCCTAGCCAGTGCCCTGCCTCCCCTGCATCCCACCCTGCCGCCCCTGCATCCCTCGGTACTTGCCCTGCATCCCGCCCTGCTTCCCTTTCACCCCGCCCTGCCTCCCCTGCATCCCACGACAGTTCCCCTTTATCCCGCCATGCCTCCCCTTGCAGAGCTGCCCTGAGGAACTGAGAGCTCAGAGCTCTAGGTGGGAGACAAGAACCTGATCCCAGAGAGGGACTCTGTGTTAGGAGCTGCAGTGACAGGACAAGGGGCAACAGGTATAAATTGAA